CAGAGGGGCCCAGGAATCTGAGAAGGCAGGGTGAGTGAGTGGGTGGGTGGGTTGGTGAAGTGTTTTCTTTCCCCTCCCTCGGCACTTTTTCTGGGAAATGCCAGAGGCCGGCTGGGCCTGGAATGTCAGGCTTGAAAGAACTCCTCCACTGCTCACAGACAGCAGAGCCACAAACCTTTTCATTAGCTCCTCGGCCCCTCCCGGCAGAAACAAAGGCCTGCAAACTGGAATGCTGCTTCCCGCCACAGGCCATTGTCCCGGCCTCCCTGGACCGCCCCTGGGGATTGTCTAAAGCAGGAAAGAGAGAAATCAGGGTCAACCTGGTGTGTGACCCCAGAATCTTTCCCCCTGCACTGGAAGGACCATCTCTGCGTTAGCCCTGCGGTCAAGGAGGCCGGCCCCCCACTATCCATCCTGATGGTAGGCAGCTTCAGCTGAGGGAGTCAGATGCATTAGGGCAGGCCTGCTCAAGGAAGCCCAGCTCTGGGAGAGCCAGCTGGGGCGGCAGGGGCAGGGCCCCCTGGCGTATTCTCCACAGTGGCTAAGGGGAAGGGGGCCAGGAGGGGAGGGGCCCCCTGCCTCCTGCCCTTCTCCTCCCACTAGCCACAGCAGACTAGAAGCTATGGAGGGAAGAAACCAGACGCCTTGCCCCTATGGCATCCCCAAGCCTAGCCAGCTAATTGTACGCAGTGAAGCCCGATCAGTGTGCAATCACTAATACGAGCCTACCAGGCAGTCAAACGCAGCTTGCTTCCTGGAGCTGTAGAAAGCCCACCAGTCTTGAAGACAGAGGGCGGCCTAGGGCCTAAGGGTTGAACAACTCTGTGGGCTGAGGCAGTTTCCTAACCCATCTAGCTGCAAACACAGTTTCTGAATAATGGCGACCTTAGCGCCTGCCCCCGAGTCTGGCTGGAGGACAAGGAGATCATCTGGGTTAGTATGGGCCCTTGTGTTCACTAAGCCATGCCACAGCTTCCAGCAACCACCCCCTGGGCACCGGGGTTCCCATCTGCAGGGTTTGGGGAAGAGTTAATCATCTGTCACACCCCGTGAGTAAGTACAGCCCCACAGGCAGCTGGAAGGAACTACGGTGTACTTCCCCACCATCATGAATTAGTATCTTTATTATCTTTATGACCAAGCACCTTTGCCTGGAAATAGGAGTCTGACTTCATAGAAATTCTGCAAAGGGAGAGATTAGGAAAAGGCAGGAGTCTCTAAATCCCTTAGCAAGGAAAACGGGTGCGGGACCGAGTGCCTGGGGATGCCCCTCCCTGAGAGCAGTCAGCAGGCAGGGAAGGTGAGCACAGACACAGAGTCAGGGCTGCCCCGGTTCGGGCATCTCTCATGGGCACGTCTGAGTCCGCACTCCCTTTGTCCTCAGTCTAGCAGGCCTGATAATCTCCCCCAAGCCACACATGGGGCTTCCACACCCTCTATCCCATCTCTACATCCGTTCCTGAGCCCCTAACATACTCTGGAAGAAAGCAGTTGGTGGTATCCAAAAGTGATGGAAAACAGAAGTCAACATATTCCCTTATTTGAGGATTTATTGAGCACTTTCTTTATAGCAGGCTCTAGACTTTACAAAGAAAAAAATCAAACATAGTCCTCAAGGACAAACAGGTTTCCTCAAGGTTCTCGCTGGACAAGCAGGCAGAGCCTACTGGTCCATGTGGAAAGAGCTATCCTGAAGTTTAGACTGAGTCTCTGCCAAATCCTGAAAGAAAAGTAGAAATCAGTCAAGGTACGGAAGGTAGTTCCGCCCAGCAGGAAGCAAACATACAAAACCCAGGTCTAGGGAGTGTTTTGGAGACAGCTTGGGGCTCCAGGTACCTGGAACATGAGGTGTCAGGGGGGCAGTGTCAGCTGAGACCAAGCAGAGAGCCTTAGACACACATTCACTGAGAGGTCTGGGTCACCCCAAAGGCAGTGGGAGACTCCTGGAAGTATTAGGAAGTCGAAGAGAAACTTAGTGGCTGGCTGAACTGTTTGGAGGGAGACAAGCAGCTTTTTTGGAATGTGTCTTATATAGGAGATACATAGCTCTCCAAAAAATGAAGCAGTTCGTGGCCACATCCACCTCCTTGTAGCTCAAACTGCAGCACTGCCTTGTCTCCCCAAAGACTCCCTGGTGATTTAAAAATAATTGTAGCTAACATGCATTGAGCATTTAATATGTGCAAGGCACTATGCTCTAAGCATTTGCATGTATTAGTTCACTTAGTTCTCACATTAGATGAGGTAAGCACTATTATCAGCCCATTTTACAACTAAGGAAATTGAGGCACTGCTGGGGAAGTAAGTTGTCCAAAGTCATATGGCCACTAGGAGGAGAGCAGTTCAGTTTCCTGAGCCAGTCTGCAGGGAGCCCAGGCCCACCTTCCCACTGCATGCCTTGGCAGTCGGGGCAGCCCCTTTCTGTGCCCTAAGCATGCCTGCTGATCCTTCCCCTCTGTGCTATTTAAGTCATCCCTGTACTCTTGGCTCCCTGCCAACCACGCAGCCTTTGCTGCTCTCCCTCTGAACAGCTCACGCGGGTTCCACTCTGTCAGCATTAGGAACTAGGTGTTTCAGAGGTATGGGTCTCTCCAACCAGAATGGGATTCCTGAAGCTCCGGGGCTGTTTCTTCCTCCTTATCTCCCTGATTCAACCCTCCCTCCCAACCCCCCCCAAAAAAAGAATTATCACAGTCTCCCAAGATCATGATCACAACCACCCTTTACTCATGGCACTCATCACTTGGGGGTCCCATGTCTCTTGCCTCAAGAGACCCAGCACAGCTGTCTTCCCAGGGTTTGTGGAATGGGGGATCAAACCTGATTCGTGTCAGAGCCTTAAGGTTTACAAAGCACTTTCTCATCTACTCATTTGAGGGCTACTCCTTGTGGGTCTCCCTTGTCCTCCACGGGGCTTAGCACAGAAATATATGGGCATGGCGCGGCCTCCTAGTAATCAGTGGAGGACAGAGAAAATGAACTCCTGATTGTACAGAGGAGGAGAACCCTTTCATTAGGCCACAAGCATCTTGAGGGCAAAGACCAGCTCTTATTCATCTTTATATTTCAATGCCAACACAAGGCCTGGATCACAAAGCCCACTATTTATGAAATGTGTTGAATAAATCGACTTCCCCCTCTGCAGAAGTTACGAGACTTCCTCCTTACTACGTCTCTCCTAACAGAACCCAAAGGGAGCATTGGACTGAATCAGAGGACTTCCACTTCGAGAACCTTTGACACAATCTTTTCTTGTTTTTTTTAAATCTAGATCTGATGGGAAAAGGTTATTATTCCTATTATGAAGATGGCAAAACTGAACCCCTGAGAAGCTGGGTGTCCTGCCCAAATCTCACTGAGTGCCCCAACATCCGTGGAGGAGAAAGGTGCTGGCACAGATTTACCCCAGAAGCAAAGGAGCCGGGTGTCAGCAGTCGAGACTCCCGGGACACCCGTTGTCCTCGGCGTCCCCTGCCTCCTCTCCAACTCTTTATCTTCAGTTGTGTGGCATCTGGGTGGTGGGAGGGCCCTAAGCCCACAGCCCCTGTGTCCTGAGGGGTGACAATCTAAGTGCCACTCAAGCTGGTTCTCAGGTGTTTCCAGCACCCCACTGCCTGTTTGGGAACAGACTGTAAAACTTTGCATCTTTCATAAAGCTGGCCCATACCACCCACATCCATGACAGCACGACTAAGGGCAAATCCATCGTTCAGCTCCGCCAAGGCCTTTTCTCACCCCCAGGGAGGGATCAGACCCGCACACTCATTCGGAGCGGTGCTGGGCCATCTGGAAGTGAGCGGAACTGAAAACAGCTTTCTGGAAATCCTCCCCTCCTGGACTCTTATTCCCGAATCTAAGCCCAGCCTGTGATGTAGATTCTCCTCGGTCCCCCGAGAAGGTCCTCCGCCCCAGCTCCTGAGCGAGCATCCCCAACGCCCCCTTCGGGTCGCATTCCGGGCTCGGGGAGTAGCGCCAGACTCCCCAGCATCTAAGAGACCCCAGGGCGCCCTCTAGCGGACACCCTTGGACAGGGGGTGCGGCCATCGCTCGCTCTCCGGCCAGTCCCCGGGCATACGAGCACCTGGCCGGACCCACGCCTCACCACGCAGGTTTGCAGACCCGGATGTGTGAAAGCGGTTGTTTGTGTTTGGGGTTTTGGTGGTGGGAGGCGGCACCCGTGTCAGCGTGGGCAAAGAAGCTGGCTATGGGCCGATGGGTTGAGGCCGGTCAGCTGCTTCTCAGGCTTGTGTCCCTTCCACCCCTGGGACTCCCAGCTTCTCCTCGGGGACATACCCACAGGTGACTGCCGCCGCCCGCCTCCAGCTCCCAGGTCCGGACCCAGTTTCGCAACCGGCTTTGGGGTGTCCCCACTTCCCTTGCGGCAGGCCCGGGGTGGGGGCGAGGGGGTGTCCCCGTGAGGTCCGAGAACAGGGGAAGGGGAGCCGGGAGCCTCTCCCGCCCGGCCTCCAGGAACTGCCCGCGATCCCGGAGAGGCACCCCCGCCTCTGCCAGAAACCGGCCTTCTTAGAAGGGAGGGGGGGAAAGTGTGAATGAGAAGTTGGGGGCGGAGCGCGCGCGGGGGAGGGGCCGCTGCCAGGAACGCGCCGCCGGGGCTGGCGCCGCGCCCGCCGGCCGCCCTGGCCGCCTCGCGCCGCGCTTTGTCTCTGCGCGCGTCCCTGCCGGTCCTGGCCCGGCTCGCGGCCCGCCCTCCGCCGCCCGCGGCCCCTCCCTCGACCTCCGCGCGCAGCCTTTCATTGCTGCTAGTAGTGACTAAACATTACAAGAAGGCCGGCCGCGCAGTTCCAGGAATCGGGGGGCGGGGCGCGGCGGCCGGGTATATACCCGCGAGCACGGCCTCCGCGGCGGCTCCGACTTGGACTTCTCGCGCCGCCGCCGCCACCGCCGCGACTCCGACGCCGCCCGCCGCCCGCCCGGCCAGCTCCCGCCGCAGCCCCTCGCCTCGTCCCCGCCCGTCCGGCCCGGGGACGCTCAGGGGACAGGGTGGGCGTCCCAGCGAGGCCCGAGGGACGCGCGCGCGAGGCCCCTTTGTGGACTTCACGGCCGCCAACATCTGGGCGCAGCGCGGGCCGCCTCTGGTTGCCGCGCCGCCGCCTCGCCTCGGGGACCGTAGGAGGCGCAGCCCCAAGGCCGGAGACTTCGGTTTGGGACCAGGTAGGAAGGAGGGGCGCGGCGTGGAGGGGTGGGGGCTGGCCAGTCCCGGGAGCTCTTCCCGGTTTCCCCTCCCCTTCCAAGGCCATTCCCGGCAGGGAGGGGACGGGGTAGGGTGCGGAGCGGATGGCAGCCGGAGATCCCAGGTTCCCGGAATACCCAGGCTGGGGCCCTGGGGTTTCTCAAGTCCCCTCCCTACCCCCTTGCCTCGGATTTCCCTCTCCGTCCCCGCCGCCCGGGGCCACCGGACTGAGCGGCGCCCAGAGAGTCCCGGGGGCCTCTGCCGCTCCCCACCCAGGCCACGCTCCTGGAGACCCAACTTCCGCGCCCGAGTTTCCTACTCGGCACCCTCCCAGTGCGCGCTGGGGAAGGGGCTGGCGGGGGCTGGGCGGGTTCCGCCGGGTGCCTGGGTTGGAACTGGGGTCCAGGCGGGGGCCTCGGGCACTGGGGTTGCCCTGGCTGCTCGGCGGAGGCAGGGGAGCCGGGGCTGGCCGGGCGCGCTGGAGTGTTCCGGGCACTCACGCGGCACGCGCCTTCCTCCCCGCAGCCCCCCGGGATGCGATAGCTGCCGCTGTGCGGAGGCCGCCGAGCAGCTGCAGCCGCCGCCGCCGCCGCCGAGCAAATCCACGCTGGCTCCGTGCGCCATGGTCACCCACAGCAAGTTTCCCGCCGCCGGGATGAGCCGTCCTCTGGACACCAGCCTGCGCCTCAAGACCTTCAGCTCCAAGAGCGAGTACCAGCTGGTGGTGAACGCAGTGCGCAAGCTGCAGGAGAGCGGCTTCTACTGGAGCGCCGTGACCGGCGGCGAGGCGAACCTGCTGCTCAGCGCGGAGCCCGCCGGCACCTTTCTCATCCGCGACAGCTCAGACCAGCGCCACTTCTTCACGCTCAGCGTCAAGACCCAGTCGGGGACCAAGAATCTGCGCATCCAGTGCGAGGGGGGCAGCTTCTCGCTGCAGAGCGACCCCCGGAGCTCTCAGCCAGTGCCCCGCTTCGACTGCGTGCTCAAGCTGGTGCACCACTACATGCCGCCCCCTGGCGCGCCCTCCCTCCCCTCGCCACCGACTGAACCCTCCTCCGAGGAGCCGGAGCAGCCACCGGCCCAGCCGCTCCCGGGCAACCCCCCCAGGAGAGCCTATTACATCTACTCGGGAGGTGAGAAGATCCCGCTGGTGCTGAGCCGGCCCCTTTCCTCCAACGTGGCCACTCTTCAACACCTCTGTCGGAAGACCGTCAATGGCCACCTGGACTGCTATGAGAAAGTCACCCAACTGCCTGGGCCCATTCGGGAGTTCCTGGACCAGTATGATGCCCCGCTTTAAAGAGCCAGGGGCAGGGGCCAGGCGAGGGGCCTGGTCCCCTCTCCTCCACGGCACATGGCACAAGCACAAGAATCCAGCCCCGGGAGTCCCCCTGCTCTGGGTGAGCCAGGGGGTGGACAGGGGCCCCCCTTTGGCCCTCCCCCCTGCAGAAAGGGGCAGGCAGGACCTGGAATGCATTTGACGGACAGGGAGTGCCACCTGAGCACCCCTCCTCCCTGCGTCTCCAGAGGAGCCAGCGCTCAGTGGGACAACAGCCGCCACAGCAGTGGGTTTGTTCTCTTCGCTTTTTGATTCCCGCTGCATCTCCAAAGGGGACACTGCAAGAGTTTTGAACTAGTGAGAACTGTCTGGGGAATCTTCAAACTTTCCAACGGAACTTGTTTGCTCTTTGATTTTGGTTTAAAACGTAGCTTTAAACCTGAGCAGGTCTGGGGCCTGCGAAAGAGTGAATGAGAGAGGGCCCCTCAGGGGTTGCAGGCTGGCCCCAAGAAGTGCCACTCCCACTGCCCGGCCCAGGTGAGGGTGGCTGTATGCTCCTACCCTGGGGAGAAGGGCAGAGGGTGGCCTAAAGGGGACCATTCTTCTCCCCCTCCCCTTGGGACAGCCACGGGAAACTATCTAGATTCCATCTAGTGCCCTAGAGTCCAGGGCCCTTCCCCCGTTTTAAGGGGGAAGTGGCATTTGGAAGAGGAGTGGAATAGATGGGCTAGTCAATTATTCTTTCCCCACCCAAGCTATACCTTTCAGCACCCAGGGGGTGGGGGAAGGACGGAGGAAATGAGCCATCTTTGACCCCAGGCCCAGGACAGAGAAGATGGGGGCGTCTACTTTGTGCCTCCTGACTAGGTTTAGCTAGGAGATTCGCCTTAAATGCTCCCTGTCCCATGGATAGGGGCTGGCACACAAAAAGCCACACGCTCAGCCAATCTAGGCAGAGGCCAAGGGCTTCTCAGAGGGCACCCAGTTGGCCCCTCACCATGGGGAGGGGGAAAACCATGCCTTCCAGCTGAGCACTGGAAGAATGCTAGCCCAGTTGGTACTGGCCAGTCCCAGGTGTCTTGTGGTACCTGGGCTCTGGCCAGAACAGAGCCACCAGGTCCCACAGCCCCCCAGGCCCTGCACAGCTCTCCCTTCTCACCTGGGGGTGGGGGGCACAGGCGGGACCTCACAGAGAGGCCTGGCACCTGCCACCCCGGCTGCTCCCACTCTGCAATAGCACTGATCAGTGAAAATTTACAGGAATGTAGCAGTGATGGAATTACCTGTAACTGCTCTCTTTTGGGGAAAACTAAACAAACACAATGTTTTCTGTGTCAGGTATTTGGCCGGATGGGGCAGCTGTGTTGGGGTGGGGGTTTTTTTGTTGTTATTTTGGTTTTTTGTTTTTTAATAATGTTTACAATCTTCCTCAATCACTCTGTCTTTTATAAAGATTCCACCTCCAGTCTGCCCCCCTTCCCCCACCTAAGCCTTCCAGGCTGTTAGGAGATGCTTGAAGAACTCAACAAAATACCAATCCAAGTCAAACTTTGCACATATTTATATTTATATTCAAAAAAGAAACATTTCAGTAATTTATAATAAAGAGCACTATTTTTTAATGAAAAACATGACTCGAACCTTTCCCCGGGGCCTTGCTTTCTCTTTCACCCACACCCACACTGCACCTGAGGGCTGGAGGGAGGGCGCTGCAGAGGCTGGTGGCTCTGCCCCCTTGCTGCCCTAGTGCTCCTTAGCACTGTGGAATCACACTCAACTTCACGTCACTGACAAGCTAAGACAGCCACCTAGACTGTAGGAGAGGGGTAATTCCTGCTAGTCTGATTCAGATCTGACCAAAATATGCAAAGCAAGTTTGAAGGAAGGGCTTCAAAGGGCTTGCAGGCAGTAAGCTGTGCTGTGGTCAAAGCTTTCAGAAGCTCCTAGCTATTCGAGGTGCTCTGCCCCTTGCCAGGGAGGTGTTCCGAGAAAGCCAGACTACAGGGTCCTGGCGGTGACCTGTGACATCAGCACAGCGGGTTCAGGGGAGGTGGGGGAAGGGGTAATCCTAATACAAAGCCTGCAAGCAGGTGAGGCACTGCCTCCCCACACCCCTAGCTTCCCTCACAATTCCTAGGAGACCTGGTCTGAGCAGTGGTCAGGGCCACATACCTCCCAATAGGAGCACCCATCTATTCATCTATTTTTAGTCTCTCCTACCCCCTGAGCACTTAGAAGCTACCTGGGGCAACCTTCCCAACCCTGTAAGGCAAGTATTAACACCCTCATATTCTCAGACAACTGCAAGCTCCATGGCAGGGGGGGCTTGGACTGCTCACTTCTGATGCCTAGCACGGTGCTCAGTAAATATTTGTCGACTCAGTTGGGGCAGCCACTCAGGTTCACAGAGGTTAAGCAACCTACCCAAGGGCACACCACTTTGGGATGTGGGAAAGACACAGGATTGGAACCTGGGAGCATCTGATTTCCAAACCCATGAACTCTCTGCCTCCCTAAGCACTAAGTATACTCCCATGGTGGCCCCTAGGTGGGTCTCCCCAGCAAAGCCAGTAAGTTAGGAACCCTTCTCCCACTACTCTGGGGTTTCAGCACTAGGATTCTGCTAACAAACAAAAGAAATACCTTCTCTGTGACATTTCCCTTCCACACTTCATCTTCTCCCAACCCCCAAGACCTGACAGCTGGAGAGATGAGTGTCATCCCCAGGTCAGGGGCCCCATCCCCTCCTTTGGGCCCCAGATGCTTGAAACAAATGCTAGGACCCTGTTCCCAGCCCTGATAAGCTGCTCTAGGAATCAGTGTCCAAAAGGCAACCAAGAGAGTAAATAAAAGTCGTTTTTCTTTTCCATTTCCTGGACTTTTTGGAAAAGTAACCTAAGTGTCTAGAAAGGGTCAGGCCAGGCATGGGACTACTTTGTGACAGAGCACAGAGGAACCATGCCAGAGAGGACACCCCCCACCCCCAACCTCTGGAACTGGGAATGCAGACCCAGGTGAGGTCACCTTCCTACAGCAGGGGGTCGGGTGGGGGGACCCAGTGGGGACTGGCTCCCAGGCCTCAAGGGAGGATGAGAGCCTGGGAAGTTTCTGCAGGCTCTTCCCGGCACCTGGGGCCTGCAGTCGGCCACCATCCGCCTTCCACAGAGAGAGCTCCCCTTCTGCTGGGATGACCGCCTCCACGGACCTCAGAACCTGGGCACACCAACTCCCAACCCGTACTCAACCCAGAAGGCAGCTATTCCGCCAGGGTGTCCGGTGTTCAGAGGGCACTAACTTGAGGCCTTGGCCTTCTCTGGCCCTGGAGGAAGATGCTTTCCCCAGTCACGGAGATTGAACAGGTTCGTGGGAAGACCCCTGACCTTTTCCCTCGATGTCCACTCAGCCTTCTTCCCACACCTTTCTCTGTCTCCATTTTCAGACCGCTGACTGGATCAACCCTCTGGTTTCTGCAGGCTAGGAAAGTAGGTCCCAGAGAAGGAAAGCAGTTTACTCAAGTTCACACAGCAGGACAGCGACAACCCAGGGCAATAATCTTCCCCTTAGGTGGTTCTGCTTGCCTGTTGCCTTCCTGTTTTCCCTCCTCATCCCACCCTCCTGTTGCAAAAATATTTTTGTACTTCCCAGTCCCTTCAGGCATAGACACCCCTCCTCCAAAGACTGAATGAGGGGCCCTCTGTCTTGGTGCCAGAGGATGGGTGTGTGCCTGCTTCCAGGGTTTGCTAAGAAGCACCCTGCAGTTCACGGAGACAACTCCCCGTGGCCCACTCCTCAGTGGGGTTCAGAAGGGCACAGGCTGGGGGTCCCTGGCCAACACAAGGTGGGGAGATAGCGGTTCCTGGGCCCCAACGCTGTGACGCTGCTTCTGATGCTGTAAAAACGGAACCCCCAGGGGCCCTATCCCTCTCCGGTGGTGCCGTTTCTGGGCAAGCCTCCTGATGAATTAGAGCCAGGAATGGGAAATCTAAGGCCTGCTCTGGGGAAGGGAGGGAAGGAGGCCACGGGCAGGGGAGCTGGAGATGGAAAATAAGCCCGCACGTTGTGTCCTGGTCTAAGGAGCTAGTCAGGACGTTGGGGAGGGGTAGCCGGCAGAGAGATGAGCAGAGACAGTCACAGAGGGAGTCGGAGCAGGGACAGAAGGCTGCAGAGCGAGGGACGACGCGCCCGGGCCGCCCGGGGAGACTCGGGCCGAGGCTGGGGAGAGCCGGTCCTGCGCCCCCTCCCGCACCGCGTCCCGCCCCCTCCCGCTCGGGCGGCCGCCGCAGCTGCGGGCCGTCCGCCGCCAGCAGGAGTCACTTCCCGGACACTGCGGGAGCTCTGGCGGAGCTATGCGAGGAATGTCCGCGCCGAGCCGGCGGGTGGCACCTCTCGGGCCCGCGCCGCCGCTGCCGCCGCCGCCGCCCCGCGTGCGCGCGAGAAGGCCCCGCCCCGGCCGCCCGTCCCGCCCCCGCCCGCGGAGCGCGGTCGCCGTGGCAACGGGATTACGGGCGCAGAGTGCTGTTTATTCTCAGCCGAGTGCCAGGAAATTGGGCCGGGAGGCTGCCAGGCGCACCTCCCTGGGGTGGGGGGCGGGAGAGGGAGGAGAGGGTGGACCCGCGCGTCCCGGGCTCCGGGGGCAGGGCTGCTGGAGAAGGGAGCCCTTGGTCAGTGGGGGTCACTGACCCCTCCGAGGGGAGGCTGCTCAGAAAGCACTGACTCTTTCCCCTCCAGTAGTGGATCAAGTTTTCTCCTCGCAGGAGCTCAGACCCCCTCTAGGCCCGCAGAGCCCACCCCCCCGCCACCGCGCAAGCGCACTCTCTATCGGGGCAGCCTGTCCTTGGAGCCCCGCAGCCCTGCCTCTCAGTCACTCATTCATCAGGCAGCTATCCATTGCACACATCCTGTGTGTCACAGGATTGAGTGTGCAGCAAGACAAGGCCCTGGTCATCCTGCTCTCCTGAGATTGAGCGGGAGTGACAAACTAGTAAATATGTAAGTGAAAGAAATACAGAGGGCTCTCTGCTGCAAGACTGTAACTTCAAGTCACATTTCCATGGTTTCACCCATCCATGATCCTGTCTCACCCTCAGGAAGGGTGACCAGCTTGTCCCGGTTTGCCCACCACTGTCTCAGCTTAGCCCTGCAAGTCTGGCAGATCAAGACAATTGATCAGCCTACCCTCAGGTCAGAACACATCTGTTTCACAAATAGAGAAACTGAGGCCTGAACTGCAAGGGCAGTCCTTCTATAGGGTCATGGGGCTAGTTAGAGAGCGAGAGCAGAGGGCCCTACCTGAGTATCCAGGGCTCTTTCAGCTAACCCTTCTCACTTCCCAGAGCTGGCCCTCCCTGGCCCCCAGGACCCTGAAAGTGCAGAACCGTCAGTGGCTGGCCCTCCACGGAGTGGATGAAATAGCTGATTCCCAGCTCCCACCCCAGCTCTCCTGAATCCGAAGCCCTGAGGCTAGTCCGGGAATTTGAGAACTCCCCGGGCGATTGAGACCGCTCTGTGCTGCCATCAGGGAAGACAAGCCTGGATTCTCCTCTCCTACCGGGACAGGAATTTCCTCCATGAACCTTGACTAAGCCAAGCTGGGAAATCAGCAGGGAGGGAGGGCTCAGGTTCACTGCCTGTGCTGTGGCAAGTGTAGACAAGTGCGCCCTTCCCTCTCCTGGGTGGAGAACAGGGGGGCCTGGGGAGGAGGGGGGCACTTCTTACGCCCCGTGCTGAGCCCTCCCAGCTGTGCTGTGCTGGGAACAGGCCAGGCATTTGTGAAATCCTTGGGTGAGCCTGACCCACTGCCATGAGGACTGCCTGTGGAAGCTGGTGCGGGGGTGGGGGGTGGGGGGCTGTTCCCAGAAGTGGGGAGAACTCTGGACTTCCCACTCCTGAGCACTCTGGATTGCAGCACAGCCTTAAGCAACAGCAGCGGCCTGGAAGGCTGTGTTGCAGAGAATCAGAGGTCCCCGGCTCTCTCCTGAAAAGACCCAGGGCTCGGAAGGCTAAAACTGCGTGCTCCCCCTGTGGAGACCATCACTGCCATTATTCACAGCAACAGGCAGGCCCAGACTTAGGAAAAGGCTGAAACCCAGACTTAAAAAGCAAACCAGAATGCAAGTTCATTACTGTCATTAGGCAAGAAAATGTATTTCCTCTCTTTCCCCTCCCTTCCCCCAAATCTCCAATCTTCTTTTCACACAGAAAAACGTTATTTAGTATCTATAATGTACAGGATGTTGGAGGTATAGACATGAAATATAAAACCCAGGAAGACCTGGTCCTCCAGGAGGCCACTGTGTTGCACAACTGCAGGGGGTCGCCATTTACAGTCTGACCTTTGTGGATGGGTCCCATGAAGTTGTGTGGTGGTGGTTGCTGGGTTTCTAAACTTTGGGCTGCATTAGCAGCTCCTGATGCTTGCCTTAACAACACCCCAGGTGATACCAATGCAGGCAGGAACACTGTTCTGGGCACTGTGACTACTGCCAGTGACCACTGCCAGAGACCAATGCCAACCAAGACACATTCAGACGTCAAGAGGCCCACAGCCTGAAAGGGGAACCAGACGTGAAAACCGAGAAGCATCCTAAAAAGGCATGGGTGTAAAAATAAAATGGTATACAGGCTACAGCTGGGG